GACACCTGCAAAAAGGTCACACAGACTGAAAGATTACGCATGGACCCCTATCCAGGCGTACTATGGCGTATTCCAACCAACATGACAGCCTCAAAGCCACTCCAGTTCAGACTTATCTTAATGTCAATCGGATGAGATAAGTTGGTCCGACTGAGGCTGTGTTAATTGGACGTCAATGGCAACTGTGACGGGTAGATAGATAATGGATGCATCAAGATATTAATCTTCCGCCCAAGAGAGGTACTGTACCTAGATACGGAATATGGTGGGTTCTCCATCTGTCGGATATTGGGATGGTTTGGTGGTCCGATCGTATCATGAGATCTCCCATCTTTTGGGGACACGGGACGATGGCGTCCAATGAGACCACGACATCCTGTCAGACTGAGAAAACGTTGAGCCGTCGGGGATGTGGTTATTCCGAGGGTTAGGATGAAGGATTTAAGACATCTAGTACCTGTACTGTAGATTTGGATGACGTTTCGAGATTAATTGATGGATGCATTAACTATTATGATGCATTTTCAAATTGATCTGCGGCATCCGTACTCGTATCATAATGTCTGTTACAGGCTAGCCACTTTCCTACCTTGGTAGGCAGATTTAGTTCCCTCTTGTCCAAGGGAGGGCGCAAGAGGTGATAGGCACAGCACATAGTACAAAAAGAAGCCAGCCGGTCCAGGCATTGTTTACTTCCGTGCCTTAGGTTGTGTCCGAAATGCACGGGAACAGAGTATGGCATAAGGTACTTTAGCATATTTTATGTCTAAATGCCATAAGGCTTTTATAACAATATTATGTATCTCTGAAAGAAAAAGCCAGAGTTGGGTCCCTCATTCCATAACTACCTCACCTTATTCTTACTAGTACAAGGGGCCATGCAATAGATGTTTTTTCAAGGGTGCTGCTCGTCATGACTATCGGTTAAGGCAGCAAAACGAGGCTAAGGCATTACCTAGTAGAATTGTTAATTCGGTCCAACATCACTTACTTGACAACTTCTTCTCATTACAATCATTGAAGTTCCCGTATTCATGTCAATTTAGTATACCGCGTCTTCTTTGGTAGACTCAGCGAACGATAAACACATTAAACGAGGTACTAAATTTGGTCTTGTCTGTAATCTGTTGGTGCTAGCATTAGATCTGCTGACTCCATTTCCGGGCGGACATGACGACACGAACAATCACGACATCGTCGACCTGCAAGGAACCGCTTATCTTTTATGGCAGCTCTCTCCAGGTGTGTGAGACTTTTGCGGGGGACACGGGACAATCACAAATGCATTCAGCCTCTGTACCTAATAAGAATTGTGTTGCAGCCACACAAAGAGTTCGGTAAGAAAGAGGTTGTACACACCAACGGAACAAATCCTTGCACGGGATGTCGGTCATGGATTCTATTTGACGATCACGACTTGAGTTGATGCACTGATTCCAAAGCAAACGGCGGAGTTCTAAACTTCTCATTATCAGGTAAACACAATGTGACGCGAGTTTCGTAGGCACCAAGGTTACTCGAAAACATTGCGGCCATATCGGCGCAATACTCTGTATATATCACCGAAAGGAGTAGGCGGGTTAGTAGGTAGGATGATGTATCCTGGTGGAACTCTACATACTTAGTAGGTGGCGCGGCTTACAGCCAGCGAGAACCGTACTATCTTACCAAAGACAGGTTCTCCCTTCTATCACGACATCGAGCACATGATGCGCCAGAGCCTCACCGACCAAAGGTTCTCTGTTAGCTGGGCTGACTAAAACGCTTGAAGACTTTCCTCCGTTGTATCTCACGGTGAAATGATGGATACAAGAACACCCCCTCCACTCATCGCCGAAAGGACCGCATCTGCCCGCCGCAAACCCGGCAGGCAATAATAGGAAACATCGAATGGCAGGTAAGTTATTCGCGCGCCTTGCGCCAGGGAAATAAGATGATACAAAACCGATATATGTAAGCCATCAAGGACATAGGGAGGGAGGGGACCTTTGTTGCTGCAGTGGCGCCAAATCGCCATGGATGGAATACAGATACTGCTTCTGTAAGCAGCTTTTCCATGTCACGTTTGTCATTGAGGCCAGGGAAATCAGCTCGGGCACGCCGCAAGGTTACCCAAACAGGCATTCACCTGTCAAACCGTCAGTTGCAGTCCATACACTTTTGGGCATTGGACTTCGGCCGTTTTCCTTTCTTTCTTTCTATCCATCCAATGGATGACGAAAGGCACAAGAAGCGGCGCCATCCGGGCCATCGGTCAGGGTACGATGCTGTACATGAAATATCACCCAACTTTGAGATGGACTTGGGTGGAGGGGCAAGTAGACTTGATGTATACCAATTGAGTCTTGTACAATCCATTGCCTCGTTGTTCTACCTTCTGGTGTACCTATTTGACTTACAAATGCTTGGAATGGAACAAGCCATAGAAGAAGAAGTCAATTCATCTAATCCAATTGTGTAACCCAGACGCTAGAAGAAATGGAAATTCGATATAAATCATGGGAGTCCATTTTTTTCCCTTCGCTGAGCCCTTCCATGATTCCACAATCCCAGCATCCCAATCTGTCTAACTGATCCTTGCCATCTCGCTCTTGATCCTTAAGCCGACGATATTGGGATCTGTACTTTATACACCGAGAGCCGATACCCGACCACGAAAAAAACACAACCCAGCCAAAGTTGCATATTTTTTTGGCACACGAGTCACTCACTAATTGATTCTTTTTACGTTTATTTACTCTCTGGACCATGCATTATTAATCTATTGAGTCAATTTCACTGACAAGTTGACATCTCATCATCGTCTTTTGGACTCTTGATACTCTCGATCCCTTGCTCAAGAGGCTGCTGTGACGTGATCGTCAAGGTTTCAAACCCACCCGCTCTAGACCTCTGAGACTTTCTGTCTGTTTTATTATCGACGACACGACATTGCTCCTTCAGGACTAAACTCTACGCCCTCCTCCTTTTGCGCATCATCTCGACCCTGGATCGCGTCAAACCGAGGCTTCCCCATGTTTCTCTGTACCTTAACTTAGCGCAGCAGAATTGCATCCAGTACCTTACCTACCGACCTACCTAGCTCTAATATAAAAAGGGTCCCCTCTTACGTTCCCCATACCTATTACTTCACAACACAACAGACCAGGGCAACACAGGAAAAGGGAAAAAGGCTTTTTTCCCTCTTTTTTTTTACCCTTCAGCCCCGCCTGGACCTCCACTTGCTTGTCGCTAGAGCCCAGAGTTTATATCTATATCAACATCTCTGTCACCACCTCAACCTCTCTTCCTTACTTCACCTAAACTCGCCGACTTTCCTCAGCTTTCCTTCGGCCTCGTGTCTCTAGACCCTGTCGAGGCTCAATTATACCCCTCTCCCTCAGTCAACCCTCAGTCAACCCTCAGCTACAATGTCGGCTGCTCCTCTCAATTCGGACCCTGTGGCCACCCCACCTCGCCCTCCGTCCCCCGTCCACAGCTTCGGTACTCTCGCCGTCCACGCCGGCGCTCCACATGACCCCGCTACCGGTGCCGTGATCGAGTCCATCTCTCTATCGACCACATTTGCTCAGTCCGCCGTTGGCAAGCCTGTTGGCGAGTATGAGTACTCCCGATCCTCCAACCCCAACCGCACCAACTTCGAGACCGCTGTCGCTGCTCTCGAGCACGCCAAGTACGCCCTCGCCTTCTCTTCCGGTTCCGCCACCACCGCCACTATCCTCCAGAGTCTCGCTGCCGGTAGCCATGTCATCTCCGTATCCGATGTCTACGGAGGTACCCACCGATACTTCACTCAGGTCGCAAAGGCCCACGGCGTCAAGGTGACCTTCACACCAGAGATCGAGGTCGATATCAGCGAGCACATCACTCCCGATACCCGTCTGATCTGGATCGAGAGCCCTAGCAATCCAACCCTGCGCCTTGTCGATGTCCGAGCTGTTGTTTCTGAGGCCCACAAGCACGGCGTCCTCGTCGTTGTTGACAACACATTCCTTTCCCCTTACGTCCAGAATCCGCTCGATTTCGGTGCCGACATCGTTGTCCACAGTGTCACCAAGTACATCAACGGTCACAGTGATGTTGTCATGGGTGTTGCTGCTTTCAACAGCGACGAGCTCAAGAACCGCCTAAGCTTCCTTCAGAACGCCATTGGCGCAGTTCCCTCAGCATTTGACTCCTGGCTTGCTCACCGTGGTCTGAAGACTCTGCATCTGCGAGCTCGTGAGGCCAGCCGCAACGCCGACGCCGTGGCTCGAGCTCTCGAGGCTTCTCCTCTAGTCATTGCTGTCAACTACCCCGGTCTCGACTCTCACCCTCACCGACATATCGCCAAGAAGCAGCATCGTGATGGTTTGGGTGGCGGCATGCTCTCATTCCGCATCCAAGGCGGTCACGCTGCCGCTGAGCGTTTCTGCCAGGTGACAAAGATCTTCACTCTCGCTGAGAGTCTCGGTGGTGTGGAGAGTCTGGTCGAAGTTCCCAGCAGCATGACTCACGCCGGTATCCCTCGAGATCAGCGTGAGGCTGTCGGTATTTTCGACGACCTTGTTCGCATCAGCTGCGGTGTTGAGGACGCCCAGGACCTTACCAATGACGTTCTCCAGGCCCTCGAGAAGGCTACATCTGTAATCAAGACCAACGGTTTCAACGGTAACGGCAATGGCGTCAACGGCTCCTAGGCGCATGTCCTAGTGGTTTTTCCCAGTCGGTTTTTCGTTTATTTAGAAGAAGATGATCTATGATGACATGTTGTGAGATTTATTTCCTTTGTCTGAGGATGCTCTAAAAGCAAATAAAAAGATAGGGGCGTGCTTCATTTAAGGCCCCCCTGGGTTGGCATTTATATAGCGGCTATGGTCAAAACTGATGCATATCGCATCTCTCTGTTATTGAGGCTTGGATGACAAGCTACCTGAAGAATATTATTTCGATTTCTCGAGGTAGTCAACAGCCAATGGGTCGTGATATCTCGTCGTGACATGGGAGCCCCCGAATCATCATTAAACATGTTCGTCGTCAGAAGGTGGGATATTAAACAAGTTTTCCGTGAACTCGTTTGCCATGCTATTCTCGGCAGACCACTCGTTGCGACGCCGGTGTATCTCACTCATGCCTTCACATGCTGTCTCGGCGATAAAATGCAACTCATCAAGAGTATTGGAGTTGCAATTTGGGAACACGCCATCGATGCTGCGTTGCCACTCTGACGTTGAATTTGCGACAGCCGTCTGGTACGCATTAGTATCGTATTCAACCACCCCCAGTGCACGATTCCGTGGGAGCAGGTTGTTAAGAAGACTGTCAAACAGAGCGTCCGCAGGAAGGTATTCGACTGCATCTTTAGTGAGAGCCGTAGGTTGGCGTATTCCCATGACAACTTCAACAAAGCGTTGGGAGATGCTTCGACCGAGACCACAGGGGTCAATAAGGTCAAACTCTGGCTGTGTGGGGATATCTTCGAGCATGTAATGGTCGTAGGCCAGGAAGGACGCTCGGCAGATTCTCAGATGTGGTGTTGCACATCTCAGCGCCATAGCAATCCAATGGCAGTCATCCCCTGGACGTTGGTTGGGCATACCGACCCAAAGGATTTTCTTAGAATCCTCGTTCCAGTCGCGCGACTGCTCGACCTTTAGATATACTTCGTTCAAATAAAGCTCTCGAAGTGTGGTTCCAAAATTCTCCGCAGTACGGACAAATACCTCTGGGCACAACTCGATCCGCTTGAGCTCCAAGCATGTGAGATTGGAGTGTATGACATTAGGCGCCGGTAATGACTTTGCACGCCACTCGTCAACAGGCATCTGCCAGAATTTCGTCTGTTTCAGACCTCGTGGTGGGCGATCATCGTGGTCCATCCCTACTAAGCAGAGACTCTTGAGCTCTCCCGCGTTCTCCACAAGGTTCCAAAGGCAGGATCCGAATAGTCCCACGGTTATGGGCTCGTTCTCGTGTCGCCGTAACGTCAAGACGAGGTGTTCCAATACCTCCAAAACTTTCATGATGTTCATCACATCGATCGGGTTCATCCAGAGGTGACGTATGGCTACATCGGTCACATTCTCTACGACAAGTGTATTGAGCTTTAGCTGAGTCTTCCTCGGGTCGCTGCGCAAAGGCTTTCAGTGTGTTGGCCAGGATCATCGTGGCGGCGTTGCAATGGCGGCCGACGAGCTGGAAGGGGAGGTTAAGTCGTAGACGGTCAACGTCACGGCAATAGAATAGCATCTCCTCAACCTTCTCATAGTAATCCGTCTCCGTGAAAGATGTTTCATTCATGCAGTACTTTTTGTGTAGTGTTTGACAAAAGTCCGCCATGGACGGAACTCGTGCAAATACGGTATCAAGGAACTCGACTTCCACTGGCAATGATCAGTTAGCCACCACACATGGGCGGGCCCGGGGTCGGATACTCACGGTCATCTCTCAGAACCATCAGGTCAATATATAGACTCTTGCAGTGATAGCCTATCGTCTGGAGTGCATCTATTTGTGGATGTTCTATACCGCTTGTCTTGCTTAGGCGCGAGAATTCCAGGTCCAGAGTCCGGCATGCGAAGGGCTTAAGAATCTGGTCAAAGACGCGGCAAACGAGCCGAAGATCGAGGACTGCATTCTTGGGGCCATATTCGATACATTGCTGAAGTATCGCATCGACCAGTTCGCGCGGTAGGCGATTCATGATAAGCAATGTCTTGTGTGGTTCTGCAAATAGAGTTGGCTGATTGCGGGTAGGGGAGGAATTAGAGGGGTCGGCAGCGAGTTGATGTGCATCGAGCGCTACTATGCGGCTTCAAAGTTCATTCGAGAGTTGCATTAAAGGCCCTTATTTTTGTCGAACATAGCTCATCAAGCCTGTATCGAAGGGGCAGAGAGCGTTTGGTTGACAGGCAGACACACGTCCTAAAGGCCGTGAGAACCCAGGAGGTAGGTAGTTGAAGTTGGAGTTGTAAGGTTGGGCAATCAACCAATGGAGTTCAGGAGCTGAGATCACCATGCAGGGTCCCGACCGCGTTACTTGATGCCGCCAGGGGAGCTCTCCACCCCCACTGATTCCAAGCTTCGCATTTTGGTAGAGCGATAATGAAGTTAGCTACCCTAGATCCAACTACCTCTACCATCTGAAGGTGTGATATTTCTATGTCCTCTCCAGTTGATAGAAACGCCAGCTCCTACCTTACCCAGTTCTTTCATCTTATGTCTCCTTTAACCATCTTGTGATGAAGAATGGAAGAGTCTCATTCATGGCCCAGGAGCAGTTGGGCGGAGCAGGTGTGTTATCAACGATACAGCTATGAGATATGACAGTACCCAATGTTGAAATAAAAATCCAGGAAGTCAGCTGAATTTGTCGAACAATAGGAACGAACAATCCCCTAACCCAAAGCAAGCCCAAAAACTCTTCACAAAAAGGGGTAACAACGAGCCTCGTTGAACACTCTGAAAGCCGAAGATTCGAAAGTTGGTGTTACAAATGTTCCATGATGACGAACATCTGTGTTGTCTTAGATATGACAGAAAACCGCATGGGACTCGGAAAATTGTGCCGAGCCGCTAGGGAATGCAATGAGATACTCATATAAGACCGTGATTACTCTCTGATCGAGACGGAAAAAACGGCACCATATTGTGCTTTTAGAAAAGGAGTATTGCTTTTGCGGAATATCGGCAGACATAAACTGGAACAAACATGAAGCCATTGGTTCCAGCCGTGTGAGAGCCAGTTCAACTTAAATCTACTCTTGTCATATGCTGTACGCGTAGGTTGATGACAACGCCGGAACGGCCCCCCTTAGCAGCAGTTGAGGAGAGGTGAAGTTTAAAGGCGGCTAGTAACGTTAGCCATCCGCGATGTGGCTGCAGGGCGCTAAAAGAGTCCAGAATTCTGCAAGCCTGAGCAATGTCTGCGCTCCCTCCTACTCAACGAATGCCAACAGCAAGAGCCCTCGTGATAAGAGTATGAGAGAGGCTGGCCCAGGCTGGTCGACAGCAAAGGCAAAAGAAAGCCACCTCCTAGCCGCGGCACCAAACTGATGGTCACAGATAGGATTCGAAGATCCTCGAATCATCTACGAAGTATCTACTCTGTAGCCTCTCAGCGTTCTCCCCTCTCACCGGTAATATGGTAGTTATTACCCAACAACTGAATATTCAAATCGTAGGGAATGATACCTCCACGGCCATGCAACCTCACTGGGTCATAGACCTGAATATTTCTATACCACCAAGGTGAATTCCAAGCCAATAAGCCATGCCCTCCCTGATGGGCAACTTACATATGACAGCAGCCACAGATACTGTACTCTGTACGTGGCGCTGAGTTGATCTGTCTGGGGTGCTAGTGAAGTTTCTCATTGGTGAAAACTGACACAAGCTTGTCAACAAGGCCTCGTTTGAAAGCCGGCCTCGGTTTCATCGTGGGAAATTGAGAATCAATGAACGGTGCGGAGTTCACAGGCCGTGGCCCCTCAACCTGGTCATGATAAACCAACTCCAGATCAACTCCATACACAGACTGCCAGTGACTTGAAGAAGAAAACAGCCTGTTGACACCCGAACAGGGTAGAAAAAATGGTCAGATTAGTTCGTGACGGGGATAATGGAGTGACGCACTTTACATGGGACGAGACAAGGGACAAGGGAACGCGGACCAAGGGTGGATAAGGAATTGCGCTAACCAAGTCTTTTATCATCCACTTGTCACCATGCTTGTTGAGCTGCTTCTTCGGTGAAAAGCGAGAGGGGAAAACAAAAATACAGTTATGGGGCGTTTTATTTCTCTGCCAGGTGTGAAGAGTCTCGAAATTGCTGAGAACCGATAAAACGAACATGAGGTCTCTTTACTGACAAAGGCATTCGACTCCCAAAACCACTTCGAAACTCCTGTATCATAATTTAAAGAAATATCATGCAAGGGCTGTAAATGAAAGTATAGGTAGACATGGTGGATGGAGATAACCTACCCAACATGAACAAAAGGTCCGAGTGTCTGATACAACCATCGGCGCTGAAATGCCGTGACCACGTTGGAGAAAGAGTCGCATCTTGGCGAATTTCTTTCTCCATGAGCAAGTGACATGATAATGAAAATTGCCTTTGCCCTTTCCCGTTTGTTCCGGAATAGCGCGTCTGGGCAGACCAGTCTCCATTTCTTTTAGTCGCGCAGCAAAACCAGCCTCTCGCCAAGTAAACATTGCCCAGCCAACCCCCTCTGTTGCAGCTGTTGCAGAGATAGAATCTTGAAGTGTGTAGACTACTCCGTGTTGAGCATCAATCGTGCTTCTGCTTCTGTGCTTGTTTCTGCTGTGAGCACCGCAAAATACGGTGATATGGTAGACCAGTAAGATGGTCCGTGCCAGAAATTAGAGACAATGGTGATGCAAAACGTCCGAATTCATTGGCTCGTCTCATATATGGGCCTGCAATCTTTAGATGCTGGGCGGACTTTTTGCTCACCTGCGAGAACCGACGAAACCCAAGTCACAGATATCTGATGATTATGAAAATTGCTGGTAATACAAAGTTCAAATTTTGGATTCAGCACCACATATTGGAGGGGAGCGCCGAGCCTTTAGGCTATTCACTAACCGTACACTGCTATAAAGCTGTTTTTTTTGTTTAAAAAAAAAACAAGAACCTTCTTAGGTGCTCGATCCTAAAGCCGCTATATTTTCTCCCAGTATACGGAGTACGGATACGGATACCTTAAATGTAGTTGCTGGGGAACCCTTGTGCTTGGAGACTCTCAGTACGTATCCATGGGACTGAGAATGAGTGATGACGAGAGTGAGACTGGAACTGGAACTGGACACCGCTGGAATCTAGCGCGATATCGAGAGCTCAATCTAGTGCCCGTCAACGTGCATGAGAAGATCCTGGTCACCCATGAGTGAGTGACAATTGATTGCTGATTGTGTCCCACTTGTTCGGTCCCAGCCGCTTGCCTGGGCCTTGTCACTCCATGCAAGACGGGATTTTACCCGGAGAGGACGAAAGTCATCTCGATCGTCAATGAGGGAGGCGGCGAAGGCGCAGCTTTCCTTGGATGAGTTCTCAAGCTCTGGCTCCTACCTTGGGCGCATGGAAAATCATGGTGGTTGAGTAGTAGCCATCGCGACTAAAACGGAAATGGCGCTGGCCAAGCTCGACTAGGGTCAAGATGGTGTGAGTGGTAAGTGGCTAAGACAGGGAAGGTGTGGGTACGATGCGACCTCTAGCCGAGCTGTGCCTGTGCGTTTTTCCCTTGTTGAGAGACGGGGAGAGTTTTGCAGCGAAGTCAATGGCGGATGCCACCAGGAGGATATTCTATTGGCCAGATAGCCCATCGACTTGCCCGAGATGGAGATTCTCATGGGTTACGGGTTGTGGGCATTTCATGCCGGGGCCGAGTTCCAGTTCCAGTTCCATTGATTTCAGTGTTGTTTTCCAGTGTTTACGTTTACAGAGAGGCCCAAGGTACCTCCCTAGCCTAGCCAGCTACCTCCCAACTGAGTCTGGAAGCACGGTCTTGTCTAAGGCGAGCAAGGTAATCAAACCGAGGCCAGTCGCAAGTGACGGCACCTGCCCAGACAAACCCAAAGCCAAGGGACACAGAAAGTTAGCCTGGTTAGCTACTATCCGCACCTACCTACCTACCCAAACTCTGTTGCTGGTTGTTTCTTTCCCGCAGTTTAAAACCTACTCTCCGCCTCGTCTTTCTCCTCTCTTCCTTCCGCGTTCCGTTTGCATCAAAAGACCCTCTTGACCCAAAGCATAAGAAGGATTTCAACCTCAATTCTTCCATTTGCAAAAATCAACTTCTCGCAAAACATCGATTCATCATCGTTTCACTTATTCCATCGCCTTCATCACGATAATCGTCCCACAATAGATCCATAAACACTCTACCCAAACATTTTTCACGATGCGTTCATCTTTTGCCCTCCTCGCTATGGCCGTCTCGGCCGTCTCGGCCCAGACGACTGTCCAGAACTATAAGAGCTCCCTTGACATGACGATTGACCCCAACAGTGTAGATCTCGCTACCCGATGTACGTTCTGAGAATAGAAAACTTACAATTGTTCGCCGGCGTGCTAATATTTCACAGCTTCCTGGTGTGGTGCCCAGCAGAACACTTGTGATGCTCTTTGCAAGGACGACACAAACGAAAACAAATGTACCGAGGTATGTGGTACCGTTCAAATCACTTTCTCGTCAACTTGGGGGATGCTAACACTCCATCAAGAACGATCTCAAGTGGGAATGCACTTGCTCCTCCAACAGCTCGACCCCCGGTCTCCAGTACTACACCCAGACCATGCCTACCTTCATTTGCGAGGAGCTTTTCAGCCAGTGCATTTCGCAGAACACTGGCAGCCAGTCTGGTCAGAAGGAATGCACTTCCAAGATCGAAGACAAATGCGCCAAGCAGAGCCCCCCTAAGGACGTGGTTAGCGACGATGACGACGATACTTCCAGCACTGCTACCGACACTGCTACTACAAGTACATCCGCCACTCGTGCCTCATCGGAAGCCACTGGCACTGCTGCGTCCGTGACATCGACGTCATCCGATGCTTTCGCTGCCCCTACCATGGCGCCAGCGGGCAGGGGTGCGGCCGCCGCTGTGGCTCTCGGCATGATGGCCTACCTCATCTAAGTGTAGGAGGTTTAAAGCATGGGGTGCTGCATCAGCAGTGCTACGGCAATATCCTGGCCCACATCACGTGCCACCCGTGGCCGGTGAGTAGACGGCCAGAGCCTATCCTGTGCACCGTTCTTCACTTCTATTGCCCATTTTATTTTACAGTACACCTTTTCGACGTGCAACGCGATACCTTTTGATGAGTATAAGACCCAACGATGTAGCTTTGTTAAAGCTTGGATGAGGTAATGACACGCTTCGGCGTACCGACTGGCGGGTTGAAGGACCGGGGGTGCTGTGTGCCTTTCATAGGGACGACGGAGAGGTGCACTGGCGAGGGTGGCGGTTATTTGTTTATGCTTTATAATTCAATACGTTCATAGCAAGAGGCGAAAGGAGTAGGAAAACTCGATCACTTTGAACAAGACAAAGAAACAATGGCTTGACCTTGAGCTCTTTGAAAATCGCTTGGACTATGGGTATTGTGTCAATCCTTTGTGTGATTGTACAATGAATTGCCGGGTTGTTCTCTCGACTCAGAGTGTGCTTCTTCGGAGCTGCCGAAGATGACAACTGTATGTCTTGAACATGTCGCCTTGGTAGCATGCTAACGACTAATGGGCAGGGACCGACGTGTCTCAAGTCATGTATATATAAAGAGCCAATGTCATCTCCTGGCCGATCAGTCTCGAGCAGCCTAAGGAATCTGCTATCGAAAGTCGAAAGATTGAAGCATTATACATTTTGATAACTCTGGAACAATAGAGCAAGCTCTCTGTTGATCACGCAAACATAAAAACCATATTTCAACATGGGGAAGCAAAACATTACTACCAATACTGGGAATCAATCTCCTTCCGAGCAGAAAGGCAAGATGGAGCCTCGCGGTACCAAAGAGACGGACCATAAGCACGACGACGACAACTATACTCGGCCCCCACGCGTTAGCTTCAGTTTCGAGCTAGAATTCCTGGTGGCTGTGAATCCAAGGGAAGCTGAAGCAGACGATAGCATCCCTGGCCTTGCGCCAGCCACTGGCCATCAAGATGGCGTAACAGCAGTCTTAGAATTGCTACGAGATCATGAATTCTGCGCAATGACGGTACAAGAGAATTCCGTCGCACATACAAGTGAAAGGAAGGAACATCCATGGATCGTCACGACAGACGGCTCAGTGGCAGAGCCTGGAACAGAGTGGAATAACGAGGCTTATACATGGGATGCGGTGGAGATAGCAAGCCCACCGATGTATGCTTGTGACGAGGCATACCAGCTCGTGTCAGTGGTTGTTAGACTTTTGACTAATAACTTACGTGTTCGGGTCAACACTACGTGTGGTTTCCACGTTCATGTCGGCAATGGGCCCCATCAGATGGACATGCATGGATCGAGAAACTACGCGGCCCTCCAGTGGGCATCCGACCCTGTGCTATCTACTCTCCATTCCCCGGCGCGAAGTTTTGCTCATTACTCCAAGTCTATCCGGCGCTTTACTGGTGTTGAGTTGAGTCACAACGTGACTGCAGATATGGCACGGCGAGAAGTCCAGGGACTGAATTTCATACCTCGATATATTTCACGGGCGAGGAAGCTCGGAGAAGATCCTATTGCTTCTAACGTGGCACTGATCGGACATATTCGCGAAGCCCACAAGAAGGGAGACGATGGAATATTCCGGAAACCTGAGTGCGAAAGTGATGGTTCCGACTACGAGCGCGAGGACGGCAGACCTTTCGATCGGCCAAGGAAGGCCAAAGGAGTTCGGCGAGAAGCGCGTGACATGCCCTACGTCAGGAATTTCATCAGTGAGGATAAGGCTAAACGTCTAGATGATGAATCTAACAGTACCCGCCGTGATCTACCTCCGCAGCTCGATTTTCCAGCCTGCTAGTCCATCACTTCATGTAGGTCATCTCAAGGCGTGCCTTTGCTAGACGAGCAGCGAAAGAAAGCAAAGGCTGTATCAAGGCAAGCGGATATCCAGTCAGCCGTTTATGAGATGGACTATGACGCAGGTGATGGCGATGATGACTCGCTCAGAGCATCAAAGGTTGCTTGGAGAGGAGTCACCGAGCTTCTGGCCTGTGACGTGGGTGTACATCAGGTCGCACATCTCATGTGTGACAACACGACTGCCAGTAAATACTACAGTTATAACTGGAAGGGCCAGTCGATGCATGAGATAGCGCCCTTGGTGGGAAAGGAGACTCACGGCACTGTCGAGTCTCGGCTTGCAACCAGTAGCCTGGATGCTGAGTGGATTGTTATATGGATTAAGATACAATGTCGTATGCTCGAGTGGGCACGAGACGCGGACCCTTCGCAGCTGATGCGTGTCATTGGCAAACTCTCCCAGGACGATGTATCTCGCGAGTGCACATACGACGTCTTGGACTTCCTTAGGGATCTCGGTATGTATACCGAGCTTAAGCACTGTCAGGAACGTCTGCTCAGAGCTGAGGAGGCATGGTTCGAGTGCACCATGCTGCAAGTACGTGGCTCATGTTACTCAGAATCGTCACCTCATCTAGAGTCTTGGTCTACAGTTCCCGACAAGGAGAACTCGAGAGACACCTGCAGACTTCCTGATGATTCAGGAGAGGCTTGTGACTCAGGAGAGACTCAAGTAGCTCCTGTTCAAGACGGGGGAGATGGGTGGTTAGTCCCCTTAGATCCACATGCCGTTAGTAGCAATTGGTAGGAAACTAGATAACAAGTATCGTTCAGTAGCAGTTAAATGGCTCTGCTATTAAATGGACATAATAGGCTAAGTTGCTTGTGTGTTTTCTCTATTCCTCTTTGTAGATATAATAGTTGATAGGTCTGGCAATGTACCTACCCCGTGAGTTTCTATATTTATTCCGTTGAAATACATCAATATCAACCCATACTGCATCAAGTAAGCACTTTTCATGGTAAGTTTGAAGAGAGAGGTGATAGTTATCATATGTATAGAATGCACCTGAAGCTTCAGTGTGGTTCCTGACTGTGAAAAACAACTGCTCTGTCCTTTGGAGTTATCACAACCCTACCTACATTAAGAATATGAATCAATACCCTTGAAAGGAGTGGGCTCACCGCCTCTTACTACTACTATTGCCAGCGTTGACTCCTGAAACACAAGTATAAAGCTTGACGACATTTATTCATGGCGTTGCAGGTTTGTGGCTTGAACTACTATCGGGATTAACCTGGGGAAGGGGAGGAAGACCGTTTGTGCGTGGCTTGACGAGTCATTCATTCATCACCAAACAAGCAATGATCAGTTATAGGTACAAGGAATTATAACAGGAATCAGATTAACGCCTCCGAATAATTGCGGGCTTCGAACAATACTAGAAACAGCGGCGTCTAACGTACTGCAACACAATGTGACATGACACAATCTTCACTCTGATCTTTATATACCGTGGATGTGGAGGATATCGAGCGATGATTACCCTATACGCGGATTGAGTCCCATAGCCGAAGCATGAGTAAGAGTACGTGGTGCACATCGTTGGTGGCTTATGAGGCAAACAAAGATGTAATATAGTGACCCCGGAGTGGCATGGTCTGTTTTATGTAGCATGAAGTAAAATACAACCCTACACGGCGATAGCATTGTAATATCAAATAGTCAAGATCGTGATGGATGTGTCAAGTCAAACCAAGTCCAACATCAAACTCGGGTAATGTTAACCACTGGAAGGTCTCGACGGCAACTGAATCGAGGATCGGGCACGGATCTGACCGGAAACCGATCATAAGAATAAACATATGAAACACAAAAGGCTCGGGATGGGTGAGAACTAATCAACCACGCATGAGGGTCATGGTAGTATTGGGTGTATAGCAGGCTGTCAGCAACGACATGGCATGACCTGACCAGGCACTACTCGGCTGTCAATAGCCAGTCAGTCTTAAGAAAAACAAAAACAAAAGAGTGGCATTTACTGAAAGAAAACGAAACGGAACAGAACGAAACGCGAAGAGGATGATGATGATTTGGTGGCAGCGACACATGAACTCGCATGCCACGTTTCATGCAGCCAACTTTTGCGACCCTAACTTATTAGGTTGTGTTCCAGGAACCGGCTCAGGAACGGCGATAGACCAACAGATTGCCTTCAAGCAGCTGTGACCAACTTTTGAGGCCTTCTACCCTGCCTCAGCCCTAACTTAGAAGACGTAAACCGTATGGAAGCAAGGAACCTTGACCACGGCCTTGGGATGCGAAATAACAGGACGATCAAGGTTTGTGCCATCCTACATACATACGATCTGCTGGCACCGCACACGGCTTGTTCATGGCTTCTGCAGCTGCCATTTGTCCAATGATCCCTGCATAATCACAGAAGCCGGTGAACTGTCTGTCTCTTGTGCCTCGTGCCGGGCTGGGCAGTTGAAGAGCCGCATCGTCTTGTACATAGCAGAGACTCGGTTAAGTTGGGCCGTAACGGTCAAGAGGCAGTGGTCCATAGAATAATAACTCCTCTTAACTTCACGGTGGGTATATTGTTTTGTGTCTCTGCTGGATTGGACCGTGGGATGATACGTGAATGCGAGTCAGCCTTGAGTGCATTAGCCAAGTTAGGATGGAGACCAAAGTCAACCAACCCTTCTCGTGGCAAGGAGAAACGGGTCCCTTTCCACACAAGACAAGAGACAAGACACCCCAAGTTCTGTGAGGATTGTGGAGGAGTTGACACTTGAACGGTCTGTTCTTGGTGTACTTGCGTGACCTCTTGACCGCAGTAGAGTTGCAAGTCTCGAATTAGCCACCGTGAACGAAATATTGGTGGAGAACTGGCCAGCAAACACAAGCCAATGCAATCCACTCCGGTGCTTGCAGAGTTTGCATCTTGCGAAGAGCTCAACGATCGAAACGAAAGCCGTCATGATCCATTGAACAATGAGAAGCATCAAAATTATCAGAAGCCTCCGAAAATATGTACAAACCACACATTCTTGACGGACTCATCACCTTGAGCAGGGATGATGCCTGCGACGAACCCTGCCAACTTAGTTTAGCTTGCCGCAGCCTCACAACCGTGCAAAAGCCAAGACCAGCCACAGCCATGGAATAGGCATTTGAAATCGTCTCTTTTATCTTTTGCAGAGACAGTACAGCAGCATACGCTGTAAGTCTTTCTTTCTTGGACACACGACTCATGCCATGGCTTGTGTGTATCAAGACATGTTCGTTACATGCAAGACTATACATACACACATACATACATACATGAAATACGTTGTTGGCTTGCCAAGTCTCATCTGCCACTGGGTCCGTTGCTCATTGAATCCGAGACTTCCGTGAGTATCAAGAGGATCGTCGGCTGAGGGCAGATTAGAAATCAGTGATTATCTGAAGGTTGATGAAGCGAAGGATCACCGTACATACATTAGTAAAAGCCGACCTGACCAAGAACCATCTCGCGTCTCGTCTGGACCCGTTCGCGATGTAATGCCATGGTGCAGTGACCCAGCGTTTGAAACGGCGGGGGAGGAGAAACACACACACAGAGTGGGTTTGCAATGACGCTGATGTGCTCTCGGCTGTGTGTCGTCGGCTATATCCCTTGTCTGGTATTCATGGACATGTACAGAGTATGTAGGTGTGGTAGCATCAGCTGCAGGACCCTGGAAGATGCAATCATACCAACATAGCATTGATTGAAGTGCGGCCATCGCTTTACTGTGGTGTGTTGCGTTATTTCCATGTCGTGAGATATGAAAGACAGGGAACTCAAGTTCAAGTATATACCCACGACAGCCTCTGAGTATGTATAGCATAGATAATAAGGATGCCAAGGTCGTCGTCCAGTTACCAACGGAACGAAGACGGACGGGGAGATGAGGTACCGAGATGACCCGTCTACCGTTCCATTCAATATATTCTGATGGGAATTGCAACCCTACATTTTGATATCAAATTTATCTGTCCACTCATAATGATTCTGCTTGATGTTGAACTTGCGTACGGAGTACGTACTACATGGTAATCAAACTCACCCGCTCGATCCTGTCACGGGCTCAGCCTCGTGCCGCACGTGGACCAACGGAAAGAGAAGATCGGGTGATTGCTGTCCCGAGGCCCTTGAGCTACATACTACTGCAAGTCATTTCCTGATGGTGTCGTCATGATGTTGGAGGAAAGGGCCATGACGAATGGCACGACAAGGAGGCAGAGGATGCGGACTTTGGTCTTGAGAGATTCTTCCGGCCCCGCCCAAGTCGCGATAGAGGACAACACTAATAGGGTGTCGAATCCGACCAACCAGCGGCCGACCCTGGACCTCAATCTTGAAGGTATGCCCATCTCCTACCCCTCACAGACTTTGCCCATGATCAGGAGGGCTCGTGCCTTGCAGTAGAACTTCGATCACGTAGGTGAGAAAGGGCTGGGCGTCGCTGGCTCTTCAGCCCACTTCAGTTAAGGTGTGCTCTTCTGGCCAACCGAAGGCCTTGGTCTCAGTCGCCCACCACCTTTTCTTCTTCTTCTTTTTGGTTTGGACGGGCTCACTGTCAAGTACTCTGTACTCCGTACATACAGTACAGACCAATGCACAGCTGAACGGCAGCAGAGAACCAACTCATGGTGGTAATGGTTCGGGGGATGTGGGATGAGAGACTTGGCAGGAGCTCCGTAATCCATCAAAGCTGTATTACGGTGGTGATAGTCTCATCGAAACCTCAGTACTATATGCTTGCCTGTTCGTTTTTACATAAGTAGTGGCCGCAGGTGGTTGTCAAGCTGACGAACGCGCTGAAGCTGCTGGGGCTCGTCCTGCCTCTAGATCTATTTCTGAAGAAGCGGTGTATGCTGTAGGAGCTTTCAATGGAAAGAAGCTCACCAACATCCTTCAGACCCGAACCAGGCGTACCCCTGTCTGTACTATCCACACTTGACATGGACATGGACATGGATATGGACAGGGGTCTAAAGGTATAATGGTTCATCATAAAGCCCCCCAAGCGTCCGATCTCAATACCGGCCAGCAAGTGAGTGGCATTGCTCAGCCTCTCAGGTCATGAGGCAACAAACTCCGTAACAGCGACATGTGTATTTGGTCGACAGTTGGGTGCAATGCACCTTCAAGGTTGCTTGACGTCGATTTCGACTGACTGACTGACTGACTGACTCAATATGCAATTGATGCTCTCTCTGAGAACTGGATAGCAAGCAGTTGGCCAAAGCTTGGAGAATTGAGTTGCGGGAGAAAGCGAAGCCGATCAATTAATTAATTGCCTGGTGATAAGTCAGACTCGTCAAAAAAAGGTGTTGCGCTAGAAGGAAGAATCACCCTCTGAGACCGGCACCGGACAGAAGAGGGTTAGTCTCAGAGGATCACGGCCAGAGAGAAAGGGAGGGAAAGACTAGCCACAAGATCTGACTGTGTGCCGTCCCGCTGATAGGCTCTTCCCGCCCGTTAATCACGGTATGGTTTCGCTTGGCTTCTCGGAGGCCACGGCTCACTCGGCTTAAGCGAACGCTAGGACTTCTGGCGGTTTGTTTCGTTTTCCTTTTCTGTAGTCTGGCTTTTGTGAGATATGCCATATGCATCACCATCGCGATCGCGATACTCATTCTATACTCTGCATGTAAGACATATAGATAACTGTGTTGTCACGAATGAGCTGGATTGCG